TATATTAATTAATCAAATTTTATAAATTATCATTTTTATAGTTTTTATATAATTAGTCATAAATGTAATATTTACTAGTAAAAAATATTTATTATAAATAAAATGCAATTGAAGCTTTGAAAAAGGTATCAATTAATTAATACAAAATCTAGCTAGTCAATAAACTGCTTCTTGTTTATTGTTAATAAAAATTATATATTAATTAATTTTATAATTATTAATCTTGTTATAATACTTACTTTATATACTATTGAATACTCAACTAGATTGCTATAGAATATTAATACTATATTACTATAAAATTGTTATTACACTAAGTAAATATAAAAGAAGATATTTATTAGTAGTAGTGTTATCTATTCTAAATTAATAGAATAGAAGAAGCTACACAGTGTCATGATCCTAAAGCAATTGGATTGAATTATAAACTTATTAAAATAGATATTAGTTGAATATTTACATTACGAGATTATCTATCTGAGTCTGGAACTCGTGACAATATTAACTCTCTCACCTGACTCTATTATATGTACTCTCATAATAAAACATAAAGTTATATTAAAACAGTAATAATACTATAAAAACAAGATATTAAAATTGTAAAATCAAAATAAAATAATTAATAATTAAATAAATAGATAGATTCTTTTAATCAAAGTATTTATATTTGTACTATTCAAAAAAATATATAATATTATAAAGTTTTTAGTTCTTTATTTAGTTAATAAATAAAGTTTAATTATATAAAAAGAAATTGTTTGATAAATCTAGATATTAATATTTTTTTAATAATAATTTACATAAAAAGACTAAATTTACTTTTTTACTTTTATCACTGTTAAAAATAACTATATAAAATATAAATATTAACAAATTTAGATATTAATGCTCTTACTAATAATAATAAAAATATTTGATCAGATTTATTTTTTCAGCTTTATTATTATTAAAAATAATTATAAAAGATATAAATATAAAAATATTCATTATTATTAAAAAAATTATTTGATAAATATAAATATTAATATTCTTATTAACTAATAATAAAGTATTTAAAAAATTATTAATTATTACTAAAAAATTTGTTTGACAAATCTAAATATTGATTCTTTTATTAATAATAATAAAAATATTTAATTAAATTTACTTTTCTCTTTCTTTAATTATTATCAAATATCTATATAAGATATAAATATAAAAACTTGATATTGCTTAATTAAAATTAATAATAATAAATAACAAATTGAAAGCATTTCTAAAATTTTGTTCACTTAATAATATATAATAAATTCAAAGTATAAAATATAATTTTTTGAAGTATTCTTTCTTATTTAATTAAATTGAAAATAAATTTTTAAAACTATTTGTCAAGAAATTATAATTAATAAAAACATATAAATTTTTTGATCAGCCTGGAAAACAAAATAAAAATACAAGTAAAAATTATGAATAAATAAAATCTAATATTTAACTTAACTTATTTATTTTGAATTATTATATTATTGATTTAGAATTATGTTAAAAAAGATTTATATAATTCTATTTTATATATTTCTGAAAATAATAAAAAAAGTAAATATACTTAAGCTTTGATATTTATTTTTTTGTATTTGATTTATTACTTATTATAATATATTTATAATATATATTAGCTAAAAGCACTAAATAAAATGTTACATGATAATTTTGTATATAATTTTTCTAAAATTAATCTTAATTTTGATTTTTCAAATTAGAATTTCAACTTGTATTATAATATTATAATATTATACTAAATATTATTAATAAAATTATATTTACATAATCTAAAATATTTATATAATTTATTTTAAATTTGGTTTAAATATATAAAAAATAATTAAGTTTAAATAATTATAACTTTTTATACAAATAATTTGATTAGTAACTTAATAAATCTTATTATAAAAAATAATATTAGTAATTAATTTTTAAAAATATTGCTTTTTTTAGAAAGTTAAAGACTTTAAAATTATATGATTTTATTATAAAATTATAATTTTTACTATTAATAAAAAAATTTTTTATTTTTAAAATTTTATTTAAATTATAATTAATATATTTATATAATTTTTTTATTATAAACAAAAATAAAAAATTTTATTAATTAATAACTTTTTCAATTTGATTATTTTAATTTTATATAGTAATTTATAATTATTTTTTATAAATTTTATATAATAAAAAAATTATTTTAAAACTTAATTTTTTATTATATATATTAATACACTTGTTTAATATAGACTTTTGAAAATAAAAATTTATAATAATAATATCTAAAAATTATTTTTAATTTAATAAAAGTATAATAAAATACTAAAAATAATATATAAAATTATATTAAGATATGCTTTATTTAATATAAAAAAATTATAAATATTAATTATATTTTGTATAATTTTATTAAAAATAATTATTAATTTTTATTTTTCATATATTTACATTTTTGTATTGGATTATATATTATAATTTATTATATATTTATAATTTAAATAGCAAGTATATATAAGCTAAGATTATATTGAAACATTTATAAATAATAATAATAATAAATATTAAAACAAAAATATTAAAATTTCTTAAAGCACTGATATATATTATCTAATATCACTTTAATAAAAATGTTCACCCTTTCATTTTCAGGTAAGTTATTATAACCAATCAAAAATACTTAATTATGTACCATTTAAAATTCAGCTTTACTCTCTCATTCTTAAAATATAATATATGTCACTGTCCTTATATATAGCTCAGATTTTTTAATGAACATAAAATTTTCTTAGAATTTTCATATACAAGTAGTATCAACATTTCTAAAATAGCAACACAACTAAAATCTAGAATCTGCTGCTGTTTTAGTTGTTGCTTGAAAAACTCACTTTTTTTTAGTAATGGTAAAAGTTAAATACAAGTGGAGTTCGGCACCTGTTTGATTACATAAATAACCACTATAGGAGATATTCTCTTATCAACTCGCTATATAAAAATGTTAAAAAGAATTCGCGCACATATACAAATATATTCATCATTGTGCATTAAGACAATACAAAAATTTAATTTAATGATTTGTCATTATTTGGATACATTGAGTATAGTGGATCAGAAGAAGCTTCAGCTACTGAAATCTTCCACTCGATCTATCAACAAATCTCTCCAGAACGAGGATTTTTTCTAATAATAAATATCTAATTGTGAACCAATCGCATTTATTACAAAAAACTCGACAGAATTGCAAGATAATCATCAATTATTTCTTGACATTAAAACTAAAATTCAAAAACCGGAAAGCATGACTAAGCAGATCTTTCCTTAGAATCTTCAGACTATATGAATGATTTCAACGTTGCGAAAAGAATATGATTAAATAGATATCAAGAACGCAATAATTATCTATTATATACTAGATAATCTCAGAATAATTACTCATTTTCATCGGTTTTTCATCTGTTTGATCATTTTCACAGTTGTTGAAGTTTGATGATACATCTCTAACAAATACATGAGCATGCGACACACCCTGTACGCTTTGTAAATGTGGTGGATTAACACAAAACAACCATTCCTTATTCCAAGGAAACTGTGCACGCAGAAATCGATCAACTTCCTGCATTGATCCTGGAGTAAAGGCGAGCTTAGACCAGAGAATAAAATGCTTGATTGATGGTTCTATGGCGTACGGGAAATCATTCTCAAGTAGCGCGTAGTGAGTTGGTGGGACTTCAGCATAAAAATATTGCGAAGTTGGGTGTTGTTCATGTGAGGCGGTATTGTCAGTTGAGAACGAATTATTAACGGTAATAGAAGCAGCACCAGAAATTTGTGGATTTTCAGGAAGATCAGACCAATTTAAAATTTTTTTACGAACATAATTATCTATAGTGCCGTATTCTCTGTTTTTCTCTTTTCTAAATCGTCGATATTCGGTCGTGACCTTTTTTTCCCGCATGAGAAGTTCTAGGCGGCTACAAAGAATGTTAATGTTAAAAATCAAGATTGAATTGTCATTAACAAACGAATAAAACTTTTACCCCCATTCTAAAAAAAAATACAATGATTTTTTGTTGTCAGAAATTATAGTATAAATTGATAAATTTTGTGCAATAATATTTACCAATGATTTCACGAACTTGTTCCCAATTTAATATTGGAACTTTGTAATCTTCGTCTTGGTCATAAGTTTCCTTTGCATTCTTTGGAATTTCTTGGGAAGCTTTTGTTTCAAACATAATTTTCTATTATACATATAACCCTGTTCTGTTCCCGAAATTTTTTAAAAGTTTGATTGACCAATCAAATTCCTCGGAACACTAGAACAAAGTTTAGTATTAATCTATTGTTTTGATTTCCAGAAATATCGGAACAGAATTCTATGCAATTATGAGTCATCAGATCATGAACCAACAAAAACCTGTTGAATAATTTTAAATTTTGCAATGACGGAATCCTGATCCTTTGTTCGTTTTTCTCTCGAGAAATGATACATTGGAAATGAAGAGTAAACTTAGCCAATTATGACAAATAGTTCTAACTCTTTTCTTTTTTTAAGTTTAATGAAGCAGTAGTAACAGAAAACGTGATTTGACGTAATTGATTCTGCCAGAGGATGCGTGATTTTAGCAATGATGAATCAAAGTAAAAGGTTTGATTTTTTATCGTGTGAATAATATATGGGTGGTCAAAACACGCGTGATTATTACACATTGGTATAAAAATGATATCAACTTTGTAACGTGCTCTTTTACCCTCTTTTACTCTCGTGTCTGACCGTGACTCTTTTGGGAGAAATGTTGTTTGGACATGGAGAAGAGAGGGCTAGGAATAGCACGCTGAGCTAAAACCGCAAAAGACTTTAACAAAAACACATAAATGAGTTGTTCCAACGTTCAAATTCACATCAGTCATAAAAACCAGAACGAAAGTATGGTTATATGTTTATATGGTTTATTACTCCACATAGGACTTTCGATCACTTAAATTCCAAAGCAATTATTATATATATTGAACTGAGTCCACGATCCTGAAAGTTTTAGTGCCCTGTGGCAGCTTTAAAACATCGTGAACTTTGGTTCATTTCGATTTTAGTGATAATTTCTATGCATACGGTCAAAATTATTTTGACATTGACTCGATTGTGTCTACCGACTTAACTTATTGTGTAATGATTTCTTTATAACAGCGCTATCACGTTTGTTACCGTTGTCTTTGCCATCACGATCATTACCTTTATGATTACTATAATTATTTAGTCATATATCAATTACTAATTTTTCCCCATACTATAAGCCCTTCATTTTGTCCCTTCGTGCTGCATTCAGTTTTATATTTCTGAAAAAGATCAGAAATATTGACATTCTGGAAGACGAACTGTCATGATGGTGAAAATATATATTAGTAAGACAAGATTGATTTATGAAAACATAAAACTTACAGGTGCGCCCATTATTATAATACACATTGTTTTCTATCAAGTTGAAAACACAAGGAATACAGAAACTTTTACAAAGTCGCCGAAAACTCCTAGGATGTCCGATTGAAGGAGATATCTATAAGGTGATGAATAAGATAGTCATCGATTGCACGGCCACAGACTAACGAGGCCTTCATGTGGTCGTGATAAGAGTATTTGTTCAAAGTCTTGTTTACAGTCATGTGTTTCCAATTGTGGGTTATTCCAATCTTTGGGGTGTTTTTTATTGTCTGTATTTTGATTATGTTGACTCAGGGACTTCTGAGTTTCCTTTTGTAAACGTGCATGCTTTACTTTGCGCCAAAGGTGCATGCCTGTTGAAATGATTCACAAATTAAAGTTAGCGAAATATCAGATTCACGACGTCCGAACTGTTTTACACAGCAACCATACCACACCCCGCAATATGTTAATGGAGCCAAAGGGGGCCGGGAAAATACCTGTGTGCTTTGCATTGTTTCTTCTCGCATAATCGGGATCATCCAATGTATGCGCAAACCACATGATTAACTACCAATATTTTTTCCAACTCAGCATCACATTTCTATATCACGTACCACAAACTCTATATAACACCAGATCACGTTTATATAGATTTGTTAACCAAAAGTGACATTGGAAATTGAAATATATAAAATTTTTGAAATTATAGGATCTTGTAATCTAGATCCATACTAATGATTATGATTTCAAGCTTTTCTCTTGTTAGTAATGATATTCTTTTCTTTAGCTGACTTTGTATACATGGCTTTAGTATACGTGATGAGCTAGACTCTTAAATGTAAAATCGGTTGCTTTAATATTATTATCTTGAACTTTTCACTTACAAAATAATTATTTGTATATCATCTAAAACAAAATATTATAAACCAAATAATAAACATTCTTATAAAGTGAACTATTAATTATCAAAAAAAAATTGTAAAAAATACTATAAATATTACTTTCAGATGGATCCTTTTTGAAAGATTTATCAATATTGAATATCTTACAAAATGAAAATCATAAAAAAATAAAGTTAAAGGATATACAGTCAAATTTCTTTATAATCACATCTCTCTATAATCACTCTATTTTGCTTTCTCATTTATATATAAACATAGTAAAAAAAATCTCTTTATAATCACATCCTCTCTATAGTTATCAAAATTTGCTTTTCTGAGGATGATGATTAATTATAGAAGAATTTGACTGTAATAATATAAATATTATTGCAATATGAACTTTTATTAAATATTTTACAAGATAATTTTATACTTAATTATTATTGGATTATAAATATTTTATATTTTATTGAAAGAATTTAATCATGTGAAATAAACAAATAAATAAACAAATAAATAAGTGAATATTGAATTAATAAAATTTAAGTTAGTTAGCAAATATGAATCTGTATATTAGCTAAATTATAATTTGAATAATTAGATTAGAATAAGTTCTTAATAATAATAGTTTTTAATTATTATTTTATAATTAGCTTTCTTTTATTTTGATCACCAAAAAAGTTCAGTTTGCATATATTATAGAGTAGATAGTCAAATATAAATTCTTTCTATATCTCTTTGACAAAGTATATTCTTATTTTTTATATAATTGTTTTAATATATTTGTTATAAGTATTATATAGTTCTTGAATAAAATATTAATTATTCAAGCATATTTGTTATAAATATTATAATATTTAGTAACTTAGTTTTTAGGCTCTTTAAATATATTTGTAACAAAGTTTATTAAAGTTATATTTGAATAAAAAAATTATTATTATAATATATAAATTTGTCTTTGAATTATATTTGTTATAATTAAGAATACTTATCTAAACTTTTTAAAAAAATATTATTATAATTTTAATGGATTATATACTAATTATTAATTAGAATTTTGATATAATTTTAATTATGATAGGTTTTAAAACTTGTCAGAATTTTAGCAGATTATTTATTAATTATCTATTATAATTTTAACAGAATTTCAGTAATCACTAAGAAATTTTAGTAAGCAATCTTAGTTATAATATATTAATAACAACAACAATAACAATAACAATAATAATAATAATAATAATAATAATATCAAAAAAATTAATTATTGTGGGAAATCATACTGAAATCGGATCATGCTGAATATCACGTGATCTGCAAGGGTCAGATACGATCCATCCAGTGATCTGCAAG